CAAATATCTTAAAATTTTTCTTTCATTATCTTATTACAAAATCTTAAATAGCGCTCATTAATTATATATAGTGTTATTCTTTGTAAAAATTGAATCGAAAAGTCCTGAATTAATTTTTTCTACAATACTCAATGAAGCAGTAGTTACTATACAATAGTGATCGCTTCATTGAGCATACACGGAAAGAACAATTTTGCTGAATCCAGATCTGAAAATAATTATTGTTCAATAATCAAAATGATTTTGTGCGAATGTCAAAGTGATTGCTAGAATATCAAAGCGTTTTATAGCAATGCTTATCTGCTTTAACATTCCAACAAATTATTTTGATGAATCGACAAAAAATTATTTTCGGATTTGTTTTTAGCAAAATTTTTAGATCTTTCAACAAAATTATTCTTCCCATGTAGTAGAAAAAATGGATTTTTCGATTCAGTTTTTTTACAAGAAATAACGCTATGTAATTAGTAGACACTATTTAAGATATACCCTCTATATTTCAATATATATTAAAATATATATTAAAAAGTAAAATATAAAGATACCTTAGTAATTGCAGGAAGAATAACACTTTGTATCCCTTTCTACTTCCGTAATGGGCATTGAGAGAACACGGAAGTTCACCTCGTTTATATCTAATGCATTGATCACATGTAATTGATATCTATTTGACATGACCAATAATTCGCCATTTCTAATCTTCAACCCGCTTGGAAACTCCAATTGTTTTGGGTCAGACACAATGAGTTCCTTAAAACCAATGTTATTTGCGATAAAATAATAATAAAAACGTAAAATGCTAAGACAATAATTGTAAAATTTGAAATAATTTATAAAATATAATCCAGCACACAGGAAATAATTGCATTCGGATATCTCACCTTGTTTTTGGAGGTAATTTCCTTAGTACCGTCCGCACACATCAGAGACGTTTTTGTAATGTCGCTGAAAAACAATACACATCTGTCAGATGCTATCATTGCCGTCTGACCTCCTAATGCACCCGCCAAATGAGTTTCTCTGTTAGCTTCATTAATATCCTTTTTTGAACATTCTATTAGGTTCGAAATTGCTGTCTTATATATTTTACTTCCCGCCAAAGCAGCATAATACAAGTCTAAAACAGACGGAAGTGTTAATGATCGCAAAGATTAGAGGAAAATGTCACTTGTTAAATCCGTAACACTCTTACTCTGTGATACAATAAATCCACATGAATAAATCAACAATCTTTTCTTCTTGTTAAGAAAGAAAAAAGACAAGTACTTACCTCTACCAATGAGTGTCAGGCCGTAGATAGTGTCGCCGAAACTGTAACGCTTGTTTGCTAAAACGAAATCAGGTTCAGTCGGTTTCATGTAATCCGATTCGACTCTGCATAGCTTTGATGTGCGTCCGTTATGTACTATTAAACCAGCACCTTCCACATCTGCCATAAATACCTGAATCGCAATTTGATTAATACAATATTATAGTCGCTTAAAAAGTCCCTTTAAAAAGTAGAATACAACATATCGAATAAGTAATATTCGTAAAAGCACAGAAAGTATACATGCATAATGTGATTTTTTTAAAATGTTTTCTGTCTCTCTTAACCGATTTCTCTTTAAATGAATGTACTAACAATCGCATTATTCTTCACATTTCTGCAATGCGGGGCAAAAACAGCAACGGACGATAACAATCCAGTGCCAGTTTTATTATGGGCGATGTCGATCGGGATGGTAATGCGTTTAACCAATTTATCAGTTGATAAATCGAAGATCATTAGCTGCGGTGAGCATACTTGGTCGTCTCCAATTCTGCCATCATCCACAAAGAACATATGATTGCATTTAATCTGATATAGTAAAAAGAATGCAAATTATTATACGTTTTATTATTACACAAACAATTATTGTGAGCGTAATATATAAGTGTTACAATACCTAAAACCTTGTGTCTATACGATATTATAATAGAAATCGGTCCAAGTTTTCGGATTGAGAATTGTAGAGCTAATAAAATTGCTGCTTTTCCGTAAAAGTTGCAAGTTGATTTGCTACACGGAAAGAACAATTGTGCTGAATGCAGATCTGAAAATAATTTTTGTTCAATAATTAAAATAATTTTGTGCGAAAGTCAAAATGATTGCTACAATATCAAAATGTTTTATAACAATACTTATCAGTTTTAACTTTCCAACAAATTATTTTGATGATCAATAAAAAATTATTTTCAGATCTGTTTTTAGCAAAATTTTTAGGCCTTTCAACAAAATCATTCTTTCCGTGTACACAATTCTCGGTCCGACAACTAGGACCGATTTCTAGTATCGTGGACATAAGGCTTAACATACGTACACGTGTCGTTTAAGTTTAAATGCAATCGAGTGTATTTTCGTTACTTAAACGAAAAATGCTTACTTCTAATTGATAAACACCGCCTGTAATACCCTTGCAATCGTCTTTATACCAAGACCAGTCTGGATATGGACGCAGAAGTGGGCCGCCCTCTCCCTGCTTCTCAGTTACCGTCAGCACACTAACTGGTATACCCTTGTCTCTCACCGCAGTAATAAATACTCTACCATCTATAAGAAGTTTGTTTAAAAATTCAACTTGTGCTAAATCGCGTTAGATATATTTATCGCGAATACATGACAATTTTATTCAACAGCAATTATTTATTGCATCGGCAATATTAAAATCGTATGATAAAACTTAGAGCATGATGATGTTCAGTATAGCAATAGTTAGCTATGGTGCGAAAGAATC